AAAAAATACAATAGTAATAATAATTTAAATAGTTATAGTTGAATTTTCGGGTTTTAATAAACCCATCATCAGAACAAAATAATTTTTATCAATTTCATTATGATTGTTGTTTTAATGGAAAAACGACATGAATGAGATATAATTAATAGAATAATATAAATGAAAATAAAAAATAAAACTAATTCATGACCATCTAGATTTAAAAACACCACAAATTAAACTAATAACACCACCTGATTTTTGTTCACCACCAATAGGATGAATGACATCATCTGATGTGAAACCACCACCAATAGGATGAATAACATCATCTGATGTAAAACCACCACCAAATAGGATGAATAACATCATCTGATGTAAAAAACCACCACCAGATAAGAACCAAAGACAGTACCTAATCCAACATCACTATTAATAGAATAATTTTAAATATAAAACATCTCTACTAAAATCAATTGTTGATTTCGTATATTTTTTCTGTTGTTGCTACTCATATCTGAGATTAATTTAAATTTAATATTGTTTTCATTGTATGAGTTATTATTTCCAACTGACATTTAATACGTGCATCAGAAAATCACAATAACCTGATCGGTCATATCTCTAGATTAGTCTAGAGAAGAATTTCCATATAATACCAAAATAAAATTAGAAACTTGGCCCGTTACAATTTTTGTACTCTTATGAACTCGCATTGCTTGTCGTATAACAATTAGAGGATAAATGTAGGGCATCAAAAATAATCGTGATTTTCTCTCCATTTTTTTGTTCATCAAAAAATACAAAAGACATGAAATTTAAACAAAATATTAAAAAATTTTGATTAAATCCTTAACGATTAAATCTTTTTTCCAACAAAACAGGAAACTTCAAGAAAAATAACATGGCGAAATTGAAAAATATTCAAGAATAATAGAAAAATTTTGTAGACAAATATTTAATATAGATAGCAGAAGTCGTTTTTCAATAAGAAATCAAAGTTAATGAGTTGTAGTCATCATTTTTCTATGAATGTTTCTTTGAGAAATATATTTGTCAATAACAGTTAACGAATTAATATAGAGAAGAGATCATTGAGGGCAGTTTCTATTTATTTTTTTCTATACAGAACGCAAAAGTGTTTTTTAACCTACACGAGTGTCGATCGGTACATAATTATTTTCTATATCTATTCTGTTCTTTATCATAAAGAAAATGATTGTTTTCTTTTTTATTTTCTAATTCAATAATACACTATAAGTGCATCATTCAAATTTTATTTATCTTTTTCTTCAAATTAACTATCGAATAAAACACCTTCATTATGGAAGTAACACCTACAGAAGTTCGAAATGATTCTACAAGTACACCAACTATCAATAGTAGAAGTGTACGACAAAAAATAACAAGTCCAGTTGTATGCAAAGTTTGTGGTAGTTCAGCTCAATATTCATATTACGGCGCTATTGTATGTCACTCATGCAAAGTATTCTTTAGACGAAATGCACTAAATCGATCGGTTTGTTTAAATAAAAAAAAAAAATCTTTGTTTTATTATATTGATTTATTTAGGTTCCACTTAAATGCAAATCTGGTGATCATTGTGAAATAAATGTTTATAATCGTCGAATTTGTCCATCTTGTCGACTTGTCAAATGTTTTGCAAGTGGAATGACTGTTGAAATGATTCGATCTTCTCGAGCTAATCAAACTATGATAAATCGAAAGAAAAAATCAACATCAACAGCTTTAGTCAGATTAGCCGACAGAAGAAATCAACTTGCACAGGTTAAACTCTTTATCAATTGTTTTTCTTTTAATTATCTATATTTTACAATCTTTGATAAATCGACAAAAAAAAACGACAGATTATTTCGAAACATTTTTGAGGAAAAGATTTTCAATACTCATTCTTTGAAAATAAGAATAAGGACCTACCATAGATATAAGACTATAGTTAATCAAGTTGATTATCGGATCGAAACATTTTTTATTATAAGAATAAAATAGAAAATACATTAGTCGAATATTAAAATTTGAATCATATCCATTTATTTTTACGTATGCAAACTTTGATTGATACCCTTCCTTTTGACTATTCTTTCAAAATATTGACCATTAAATCATTTCCTAAAAATTCTGAGTCACTTATTCTAAACAATTGTTAATCATTGTTAAATAGCAGTTCTTATTGATCGATCAGTTTTTCGAATTTCAACTTGGCATTTTTATTCGAAAGAAAAAATATTGCTTCAAGTAGCTATCACAAATCCATCAAGATTGTCACATTAATTATAAATATAGAAGATTTTTCATGTATTTTTAAGAACAACTTTGACAGTGTTTGAACAAAATCTAGAGAGAGGTGGTCTTCAAGATTCTATCAGATGATGAAAATATATTTGAAAGAATGTTTCTTGTTTTTCAAATTTTCTAAATACATAAGGCATTAATTAGTTTTGTTTGTCCATTATGTAGATTCCAACATTAAATTTATTACGATCAGATATATCTACATTGACCGTGGATCAATGGAATCATCTTTCAAATTTGGTCCATTGCTTTGATGAATATAGTGAACTTTCATTTATTGAACATTTTATTCATGAGCAAAGTGCATTACCTCCAAAGTTTCGGTTCAAATATGCATCAGTCCGTAACTTTTTTACATCGATGATGAGTAAAGTTCAATTAGTATTTGAAAAGAACCGAGACATTTTCTCGTTATCTTTACATGATCGTAGTACATTGCTTCGTAGTACAGTGGAATATACAACAAGTATTGGTGGAGCCGTTATACTTCGACAAGCTCACTTGTTCGATAATCCGGCGTTTTTCAAATCCGCCGAGCTTATCTTTCGACCATCTGCAGTAGCTTTGACTAAACAAACTATTGATCAACTCGATCCAGATATAACATTTATCAAAATTATATTTGCAGTTGTTGCTTTCTTGATATCCAATTATACAGTCTACACATCAACTGCTCCTACCAATCTGACGGATGCTAAGAAAATCTTGCGTATTCAAGATATCTATACGGACCTCGTATGGCGATATCTAATCTATAAGTATAATGATCATGATGCTATTTTATGCTTTTCAAATTTCATACGATGTCTTTTTCTTATCAATGATTCAGTTGTTGAAGCACATGAAGCACAACAGTATACAGATATAATCGATTCTGTCGTTGAAGCAACTCAACAGAAGCTCACTCTTAACCAGTAAACCATTTTTTTTTTGTTATTTATATTTATTCAAGCTGCATTTTGTAAATAACATCTTTTCTGAAATAAATAGAAACTACAACTCTGAAAAAAAGTTGATTGATTTCCTTTTATAGAAGTAATTCTCAGTCAATTCTGTATCAATGATAAAACAATTCATCGGCATTTATGGTTTTACCGATATGATTGAGAAAAATCCACATGAAAATAAAGTAGTTAGTGGATGGATTTCGAACTATCTGTAGAATTCTCTTGGAAGATTTTCATATGACAAAGTTAGTTAAAAAAAATTTCTATTCTTGGTTCTATGTATGAATAAAATATGATGACATTGATTCAGAGATAAAAGATTGATTGCATGTAAAAAGATTTTAAAAAATGAAAATTTCATGTGAGGGTATGGGTGTGTGTGGGTGGCTGGGGTGTGGGTGTGGGCGGGTGGGTGTGGGGTGTGGGTGTGTGGGTGTGGGTGTGGGGTGTGGGTGTGGGTGTG